ATGTCGTGTTGTGCAGTTCCACAGGCCAGTACAAAAGACCTGCTCATGGGTGGGAGGAGATTAGGAGGTGGACAGGAGAACAGAGATCACTCTCAAAATCTTACGAAGTACACAATAAGCCAGAAGAGAAAACATCCTCTTCATCATTTCACTGCATCACTTGAGGGGCGAGAGAGGAAACTTACACTTTTAGCTCTACAAAGTATGAGAAGTCAGATTCTGGCTACATAAATGTATTAGTGCATTTACAACCTTGAAAACTGCAAGAAAGCTGCTGGAGTACTCTCCTGCTCACTGTTGGGATAACTGATTTCACTGCCTCCTACCAAACAATGAATTTCATGGCCTACAAGACATATTGGTCAGAAGAGTATTCCCCTGACTTTTTGGGCTTCAGAGATCTTGCTGTGACAAAATAAAAATCTGACAGCCATTCAGAAAACTAAACTGAACTTTCATTATCTAAAAAAATATCTCTATGCCCCATAACAGAAGACAAACCTATTTGTGAACAACTGAATCCGCTACACAAAATCAAGAGAAGACTAAAAGACTTAGTATGTGTACAAGTGACTTCAAATAATCTGTTGTCCCCATCATGGACAGATAACCAGGAGCTACTAGTGCCTTGTCAGATAGTCAGGCACCCAAATGTTACCCTATTAATTACGGTACCTGGTCAGAACTCCTACAAACTTTTAGAAACAAAATACTTCAAGATTACCTTACAGCATCTCAGAAGGGGTCCTGTAAGCTAAAAAAAAATCTGAACAGCATGAGGCCAACAGGAAGATGTCTTCCTTCCCTGTTCAGTGTATAAATCCAATAAGCTTATTCATAAATAAATATTCCCAGATTGTGTGCTGAGCTGAAAGTCTACTGAAACTTACGTCTTCCATAGTTATTTGATGCCTTAATTTAAATTAATGAGAATTGATATGCTTTTGTGACATCTCAATAAAAGTGCCACTAAACTTTACTAGTAAAGTTTAGGAAGCCAAAAGCTAGACCTGGTAACAGCTCAGCTAAGCAAATACAGAAATTAAGTCTTACCTCTTTCTTTCCTTTGGGATTTTGCCACAAATCAGAGGAAAAAATTACAACTTCATGAATATGGGTGAATAGGTCTGTACAGTATATACCAATTCAGGAAAATGTCAACATATCCATTTCAAATTTGATTGAAATAATTATAACCAGTTCTCAAGCCTAAGCAAGCATATTTATGGCTGATATTCTCCCCTCTTGTTCTTGGAAAAAGGAGAAAGTTGGGCTCAGAATGAAAATTTCCTATTATCCTTAATTACATAGAGGTTAATACTGTTGCATACCTAACCATTAGGGACAAGCTATCTAAATAATTCAGCATGCAGTGCCTGCAAGGTAGTCTCTGAAGGAGACACAAGGCAACACTAAGTGCTGTGTATATGGGAAGTGATGAACACCACACTCTTCAGTGCACAATTATCTTTTAATTTCTAACTAAAACCTATTTTCTTCAGGAAATACTGTCAGCAACCAATCAGCTGCTATCAACACAGTAGCACACAAGTTTTTTCCAACAGGAATTTTTCTTCCAGGAATGAGCTTTTCTTCCCCAAAAAGATATCTCCTAACAGTTTCTTTCACACTTGCTGCTATCTTATAAGATTTTTCTAAATTCCTTCTTCTGTTGCAAAATGCAGACCAATCAACAGCAATAAGTAAGAGTGTATAAAATAGCATTATTAGTTTTGAGGTTCCACCTCAAAACATCTTGTAGTTAGTAGATAAATATGTTTCAGGCAATTCTTCACAACAGTGGTAGCTGTCTGTGTCAGGCAATTGGTTTTTAATCCATGCATTTGCAAGTAACAATGCTCTTGAATGCCCAAATGCCATACGGTAAAATGGATTACAGTCCTTAAAACTGCAATAAACAAGAACATGAGAACAGATGCACCATAAGAAATTTTGCTTTGATTTATAAAACAAACACCAAAAAATTCCTTTCTGCAGGAACAGTTTGTCACCCACAAAGTCATGCTATCATTCACTGTCTCTTAAATACATAGTAGCAGTAAAGACCTACACACTTATGCCACTATCTTGAGCCCCTGAGGTTGTACTTAGGACTTAAGCAGACAGATTTCCACCTGCAACTCAACTAAGGTACAAAAACATCAACTGTAATCATACCAGCAAAATACACCCAAAAATGTGGCCCATTTTCCATCATAATACCAGGGGGGGGAAAAATGTTCAAAAAGGAAAACCAGCAGAAGAGAAAAAAGCTCTTTGAAAGCAGTAAGTACTCTGAAGCACTGAGGCTGTGTATCTCTTGACACTTTTTGTTGTACTTACCTAATATCTGTGCATGTTATACACGTGATACAGCGACTGTTTGTTGTAATGAGGTTCAAAGCCACAGATGTTTCACTGTCAGTGGTTGGGTGTGCTCCACATTTAAAGTAAAACTCCTGAAATATTGAAGGAGAGATAAAAAGATGATTACATACCTGCCACTCATGTCCTCCCTTTATCTTAGGCTAACTGACATTTGAGACAACAGACAAATCACCACTGCCAACAGAAAAGGAGGACAATCGTTAGGAAAGGTTTACAAGGAATCCCTTGCAAAAATACCAGTCTAGGTGCCTATTTTGTTCAGTGACTTCCCTAGCAAAGAAGATACCTACTTGTGTACTATATCAGTGTGATACATTCTGTTGGGTTTTTTATTTATAGAAAAAAACAAAACAAAACCAAACATTTCATCTAAGTATAGTCAAAGGCAGAATAGCAAGCACTGTCACTATGTGTTAATATTTTCACATTTTTCTTTGTTATGTTACCATTATCTGAACTCTAAAACATAGAATTTCAGCTCTAAATTAGTAAAGTCTGGCCTTGCTTTTGTAATGTTGGAAATCTATACAATACAATTTTACTGTTATATTAAAGAGAAGATCTAGCTCTCTTGGGATACATAATACATTTGCAGTTATAGATCATACTGTGTTTGAATTAAGTTGCTTTGGTCCATACTGCTCTTTATAGCCTCTTAGACTCCTTTCACTAGCATAATACTTATTACACAACTGTGTGCTTTCTTCTCTTCTCCATTGCACCCCAGGGAAAGCCACATTAATCATGCTATGCTTTGATAAGGTTTTGTTATAAGAGATCATTTTAAATGTTCAAATAGCTCTACACATATGTAAATAAAAGTAGTCTGAAGACATGTGCTTTGCAATAGGAGCCACAGATGACAGTTTGCACTTTCTTTGTTCCTGTAAGACCTTTCTTCCAGTATCAAATTGAGGAGGTTTGCAAAGAAAATATCAAGACTGGTATAAAGGAAGTGTGAATTGGATGGTAAGAATGCAAAAGCATCAGAAGAAATGATGAGAAGGTGGCATAAAAGAACAAAAGAACGATGTGTGTTGACGGCATCAAGATATTAAGACGTGTTAGTATCAGTTAGAAGCATTTCAGCAGTCGAGAATGAGTCAACAGAACTACACATTCCTCTGAAGTACATGAAAAACCTTACACAATAAACTTTAGTTTATTTTCAGCCTTTAAAAAGGTAGCCATTAATCTTTGTATCATTTGCTAATGGGTATTGGGGCTTGGGTTTTCTTTGCCCTTTAATTTGGTTTTACTTTTCTTTGAACTAAATGGTAAGGAGGATTTATTTCAATGCAGGAGAAGTCTTGAAAATATCTCCTTGCTTCAGTACGTCTTCTGCATACAACTAAGAATATTGACAACTCGCTATATTAAAGATAAACTATGGGCAAGGAAACATACTTTTTTTTTTTAATAAAGTTACTTTTCCACTACTTTTACAATAAAATTGGTCAATTTTTGGTCAAAACAAAAAGAAAAAGAGTAATAAAGGAAGTAAACTAAAACATTTGAAATAGTGCTTTTTTTTTTTTTTAAAGAGCAATGATTCCAATTGCTTTTGATAATACCTCTCAATGGCTATAAGTTTCTCATCATGAAAGCTGTTTAATGAAGACGGAAGGGAAAGAAAGGGATACATTTCTTATTCCATACTCTAAGATGTATGGAATATTGCCTGCAAGTCAAAGGAGGAGAAAAAAAAAAAAAAAAAAAAAAGTTTGGGCTACATTCCCAAAATACTTTTTTTGTATCAGAAAAAAAAAAGGAAAAAAAAAAAAGAAAGAGTTTTTGCTACATTCCCAAAATACTTTTTCTGTATCATCAGGGAAATTACTTCTTTATACTTCTGTTTATCAGCCCAAAAAATGCCTTAATAAAATTCCTCTACTAATTACATTTACAATGTGCTTTGGTGTTGCTGAATGGAGAACATTATAGAAAGTGAAAATACTATTTGTAATAACAATAGAAAATATTGCTACTCTCCAAAACTATTCATTGAAAGACTTCCTGCTTGAGTAAACTGCAATTAAAGAAACAGCAAATCTTCTTATTAAATGCAAACAGAACAGAGGGCTCATTAAAATTATAGAAAAAAATATCCTCAAGATTATATGTAAAATATTTGTTCAGAAGAAATCTTCAAGTTTAAAGAATAAAAAAGTCATTTATAACAAATGTTGAGACTAGCAGTTCAATAAAATGTTCACCCTTGCAAAAACAAAAGGTATCAGCCCATAGAGTGCACAGTTCTATAAAATCAGCACATCAGTCTACTTCAGTAGGCCTGAATTCAGTGCTGTGATGGCAGTTCAGAAATACAGGAAGACATTAGAATCTGAAAAATTCAGTATGCTGAGTGCCTAACATTTCTGGCATAGTGTAAACTGCATTTCCACTTTTATTTTTATATCATAATACATATTTCAATTGTTTGAAGGCTTTTAGAAGTCATCAACTCAATTAAGTTTCCAGTTGCAAATAAAAATTTCTGTGGTCTGGTTTCACACATTGCTTAAGTAAACAATCTACAAGTATCTACTTGTTATGCAGGATACATTTACAAGATTACACCTTAGACATACAATTTCATGCTTCAAGTTTTGCTAAAGATGTCTTCGCTGATGAGGGTACGTTTTCCCAGTAAGGTCCTTTCTATTGCTTGCTGGTTCCAGACAGGTCCCAGGGGCCAGATTGCTATTGGTTCTGAAATTGGCTAGCAGAAGATATCTACCAGATTTCCCAGAGACTGAACATACTTCTCGTGATGCAAGCACAACCCTTCTACTTATGAAGTTATGAAGATAACCCATCAGCACAAGTTGCTTCCCAACTGATTCCAGCATTTAAATTGCTGAAAGTAATATATAAGTGGGAAGAGTTTACCCACTTTTGACTCTCCAGCCTTGCATGTCATCAAGCATGTATTCTTTTATTTAGTCTTTCAGCCAGCATATGATAGCCTAAGGAAGGAAATTTGCTGGATTGTTTAATCTAAATCATTGTATGTTCCAAGCTTAATCTCCAAACAGATGCAGAGACCTTGGAGCCAGCCAGTTTAGGACTAACCCTCTAATTTTGCCAGAGACTGTCATGCTCATATGAGCAGTTGTCACTTTTTAACATCAAAATGTCTCTCTATACTTATGTTATGCTATATGAGATGATACTTTCAGAATTTTAATCTTATAATAAGAAAACATTACAGAACAACATAAAAGGGATGGGCAAAGATTCATACAGTCTACATCACTATCTGACCACTTCTAAAATATTTTAAAATAGAAGAAATCTCATTATTCTTCCTTTCTGCACCTGTGTTCTCACCTGGTACAAAAATTTCTGATTATTATTTTTTTGTTGTTAAGTATTTCTGTTCAGCAATGAGTAAGGAAGCCAAGAATTTACCGCGGAAGATTTACTACGAAAGTTGAGACAAAATTTAGTGTTTTCTTAGTTCTGAAAGTGAACAGTTTTATGGTCACCTTCTACTGCAGCGAATACCTTTAGATCATTTTCTTGCCTAAAGGCATAGGTCCCATGAAATTGTGAACATTCTATTTAACACTACAAATGTTTTCCTTTTGGCAGTGTACTGATAGATTGTTATTCAGAGAAGGGAGCAGGTATTGCTCTTACATACTTTGTCATATTCTTCACTCCTGTTATTGCTTTTGTGTCACAGAACATCATAAAAAGTGCAAGGGGGAAGAAAAGTTTCAAAGATACATGGTCACTGTTAGTTACTTTTTATGAAACTCGAGAAGAGTTGCTCAAATTTATTAAAAAAAAATCTTTGATATTTAAAAAAAAAAGTGCATCTCTCCCTAAATTCTGTGTTTTCAAACAAAGCAGGAGTTTGCATACCCCTAACTGCTGAGAATAAGCGAACTGTCTTCTATATGGTCAAGTAACCAAAGCAAGTAAAAGATCAAATCCATACACAAAGCATCAGTGGGAAGACAGGGTCTGAAATAGAATAAGGTGAGACAGGCCCAAAAGAAATTTTACCCTTTTGATACATGTTCCCTAGTCCAGTTTACTGGACTGCCAGAAAAAAAACCAAACATTGCTCTTTGCTAACAAATACCAAGACAGCCTGCACATCAGCTAATATACAGCATATACATATGAGAATACAGATTCCTACCCCTGCTTCTCATTCACTGCTGTGTAAATTGGTTAAAAATCTTAAGGAAGCTCAGCCTTTGCATTTCTTTGTCCCTTTTCTTAATAAGCCACAGTACAATATGGGGGCTCTACAGTATTTTTCCTCTGAATTACCCACATGTGTTTATTTAGGACTGATAGGCAAAGCCATTTATTAATGTGTTATAGCCATTGATAGTGTAGTTTTAATTTTTCTAATTATCAGCACTCTTAGATCTCCTTTCATCTGTATCACCATAATTATTCCCCTAAATGAGAGAAAACTTCAACACCATTGTGGCATACTCCTGTGATAATGCTTCATTTCCTTCTCCAAATGAAAAATTAAGGAGATATTCAGTGGCTCTGAGGACAGACTAAAAGAAACCCACTTCAGAACAGCTGTGGAATCCAATGTACTGGGAAAGACTGGGTTCAGTTCTGAGCAGGGATACTTTAAGGTTCCCACATTCCAGAAGAATTGCAGGCTGGGGCTTTCCAGGGTATAGGAATATCTCTGTGGTGAAAGATACACCTGTAAAACATCATAGTTCACATGTGGAACAGGCACTGCTTTTAAAGTTAAATAAGTAAAAAGTGTTAGAAAAGCTGTTGGAATTACACTGGCTAACTAACAGGAGGAAGGCTGTACAGCCAAAGAATAATTCTCAGAGATTACGGCAATCGAGCCTGAAATTATTTAGTGATAGACTCATGAATGGGTTGTATACGTAAGACTGCTCCAACTTCTGCTGTAAGCCAACAGTATTTTTATCAGCTCTGGTTATGGGAAGACATATTCCTCAAAACAGTGGCCTGCACTACCAACTTCCCAATTCCCCTCTGCGGCTCAGCAGACACTAGCAAGAACCTCAGATGAGAGCACTGTGAGCACTGTCTAGTACCAATTCTTTGG